TGTAGTATATATATATATATATATATATATATATATATATATATATATGATAGTAGAGTACGTGATCTGGCGAGACCGTTGCGCATTGCAGCAACTCCACACAAGCACTTCTGAGCTACATATAACTAATGTAGCAGTGGTGTATGGGACGTCGATGTTAATTTAGTTGATAGGTTCAAAAATATTTTATATAATAATCACAGTATATGATATGTTGTTTGTTTGTTTTATTAAAGAAATTTTAATTGACTAAATCTGTTGGTGCAAATAAATTATAAATAATATATAAATATTTGAAATGAAATTTTTATAATTGTAATTAAAATAACATAATGATTGGTATGTGTACGTAATATTTTAAAATGATTATTGAAATATTTTATCAAAAGTAGTTTATTTAAAAAATAGTTTATTTAAATGACAAAAGAAGTATATAAATACAAAAAAGAAATAATAAAATAATTAAATTTTTAACGTAAAATCACTTTAAATACGCTTTTTATTTCAAATATTATTAATTATTAAGTAATAGACATATATTATTTGTATAAATATAGTAAAAAAACAATAAAAATATAAAGACATATTATTACACACTACGAATAAAATTAAAAATTTTATATATTTTTAAAATATTTTAATATCGATTTCCATAAATATTTTAAGAGTTATAAAAGATAGAAGATCTTAGGATAACAAAAATAAAAGTAATTAAATGCACATATTACGATATGTATTTACGAGTCAATATGTATGTATACATGTAGGTGCGTATCTGTATATACATATGTGCGTGTAAGTATAACTAAATAACAATAAAAACAATAAATAAAGCAATAATTAAACTGATTGAATTGCAATTCCAAGAAAAACAAATTATTCCTATCTTTTCTTATCCAAATGTATCAGTAATTGTTTTTTGTTGAAATAGAGAAAACAATATATAGTTATCAAATTGTCATTACAAAACTTACTAAGAACACTGATAAATCATTTTCTTGTATTAATGATATTTTCTCATACATTTAATTAACATGCATTTATTTTTATATCAAGAAATTTTATTTAATATTTTTAGTCAGTATATGTCTAAGAGATCACATTTATTACCAAAACCAATAATAAAATTGCATAATAAAATTTATAAGAATTTTATCATAAAATCTTCTTTTATCAATCTTTAAGTTTAAATTTTTAATTTTTAATTTTAAGATTTTTATATTTTCTCTCTTATATTGTCATTAATTTCCCTAACAGCACATGCAAATTTTGAAAAACATTATTTTGAAGAATAATTATAAAAATAGATTCCCTATTTCTTATACAGTCGACATATACATATTTATAATATTTGTATAAAAACTTTGAAAAATATATATGAAACATGTTCAAATTTTGAATTAGCTGAGGAATATGTCTACATTCAATATATTAATTAGCATAAATTGTTTATGATTTCATCAATGAGTGAATATATCATCAATCGGTAAGTTGTGTATCATTACAAAGAGATATTTCAATGGCAAACCATATGGATATGAATATCAAATGTCGATATCACAGAATTTAATAGAATTTTATTACTATATGTGTACACACATAATATGCATACAAAGTAGAACACAATATAAAAATCAGAAAGTATGAAATTGAAAATAAGAATAGAAAAAACTTTATAAAAATAAGAACAAAAAATATATATTTTATACAGATAAGTATATGTAAGTTAAACAAATAATAAAATATATATATATATATATATATATATATTTATATGAAAAATTAAATAAGTATAGAATATATAGAAAAAACGCTTGCAAATGACATCAAAAAATTATTCAAGTATAAGAATATATATTTGCTTTTTTGTACCATATTAAATAGTACTTGATATTGATCATTGATTTAGTTTATACTAATAGATAATTTAATACGTAATAAGATAATTTAAGACATATTTTAACTAGTAATTTTTTATAAATTATTAGTTATTTATAATAAAATAAAAAACTCTTTTATTAAATTCATATCAACGATGTGTGTAAATGATAACATATTCAGCTGGTATAATACGCATCAAAAAGATGTTATATCAGCTTAATATGTATTATTTACATGCATCGTTGATATGAATTTAATAGAACATTACTAATATACATATATGTATCAAATGTTCGATGTAAGATATTAGGTTAATCATGAAGCATTACAGTTAAGAGATGCTGCGAGAAGAAGTATGTTCACACAATTTGTCATATATTTAGCTTTTGACATTTTGATAAATACAAATCTCACTAATTAAAAAATAATTACCAAAACCATTACCAAAACAATTTTTATATGCATTCAAACAATCAAAACATTGAAAGTGTCATAAGTATATTTGATACATTTTCCTATATTTAAAAGTTGACTTTAATAAAGTGTATCACTATCTATTTTTCTTTGTTTGCTACTTTCTTCAAGTTCAGTATATTCTAATATTTAATACTTATATTTAAAATTAATATTTAACTAGTTGGAAAAGTGAACAGATGAACGCATACTTGTGCGTCAGAATAGCTAAGGAGAATCAAGTGAGTAAGATGGAGAGAGAGTTTGAAAGTAGGCCTCAGTCGCTCAGTCAGTTGTCGACTACGTGTCCAGACGATTGGTTGGCATAATGGTGAGTTTTCGAACATTGTCAATAGAATGATGCATTTTCTGTTACTGAGAAGACATAATGTGTTAATATGTTTTTATATGTAAATTTCATGCGTTAATTGCATGTATTAATTTATTGTGCGATGTAACGTGTAACAATACGTTTTATTATATATATATATATATATATATATATATATGAAAAGTTTTTAATATTTTTGTACAATAGATTTATTTGAGATAAAACTATTTTTTATACATACAAAAAAAAGTTTTTTTTTTTTTAAAATTTTGATACATTTTTTATACATTATGTCATCATTTTGCAACTTAGTGGTTTGTTGAATGTAATAACATGATTTAACAACTTTGAATTAATTTGATTTAATTACTTTGAAATGAACGTAAACATTATACAACGTAAAACTTATATTTCTATAGATTATTGCACATTTATGCGTTGAAATATCACTAAGCTTATATAAGAATTTTATTTTCTTATAAAGAAAGAATCAAGCAATTGAAATAATTTGTCATTATTTAGATATATTAGACGTTATATAAATAAATATTATAAAAACTATTAAACTTAATAATATTAATATAAATTTTTAAGAAATAAAACTTGTGTCTAGCTATAGAAGTGTAAAAAAATTATCTGTATATAATTTTTTTTCTATAAAAATTGATACGTTATTATGGTATACATTAAATGGTTTTAATTGTCTATTTCTTAACAAATATTCATGCAAAACATTCATACATAAAAGTAAAACTGCACATGCGTTAACCACATGCATTATATTGGATACATTAATATCCATTAATATCCATTTTTAAGTTCATTACGTTTGTAAATTTTAATAATCTTTTATAGCAAAGACTAATAAGTATTCTTCATCACTGCGCAATATCGTGTTTGTGAAAGTTGACTCTTTCCGTCGACGTTTTTGCTATATGCTCGTTAACTATATTTTTTTTATTTTTAGACAATTGTCATTATGTTTTCTCTAGCGCATTTTATCAAAGATAAATAAATAAAATCATAAAATAAAAATAATCATAAAATAAAAATTTAATTTTTTATTTAAATTAGTGACATTGCAGAAATAAAAATTTCTTATTATATACAACAATAAATCGTAATTACGATAATAACAAAAAATAAAACAATTTATCCATTTAACTATTAGATCTTTATTATTTGTTAAAAAAATGATTTCTATTTTAAATTTTTTCTTATTTTATCAGTTTATTTTTTGTATATTTAATATTATACAATTACTTATTATATAAATTATACAGCAATTTTCATTGTCATAAAACATTAAGATGTTAGTCCACTTAAAATTCCTGCTGATTCATTTCAGCAATCTTGAGTTTGTTAGAAAACATGAAAATTCTTACAAAATACATTAAACTAAAAACATTTTTCGATAAAATAACATTTGCATAATGTTTCGATAAAATGAACTTTTAAAATAAAAACCAGAAACTCTCCTTTTGTTTAGATAATCAATAAATAATCATATATTTAACAAATATATTGTCTAATCAAAAAGAAAATCACAATTTAATTTAAAAATTCTAGAATTAAATGTAATTATCTTTGCTAAAATTACATAGCAATACAATTAACAATGTTACAATTAACAAAGATATTTGTAAAACATGGTTTTTTAAGTTTATTTTAGATATATATGTGTTAAAATATGTAACAATTTATATATCAAAAATTAAAATTCGCTCTA